AACTCCAGTACTTTATTTTAATTTATAATTGGTGATCATTGTAATTGTTCTAATTACAGAAACGTTCTCCGTTTCAATATATATATATATATATATATGATAAGTTTTCATAAGAATGTAGAAACAGGAGCAATAAATTCATATAAATATCAATACGAACAATAGCAACAATGGGGGAGGGAATCTACAATATGTGTGATAAATAAAAGTGTTAAAAGGACGTGAGAAAACTCCGTGGGTGAGAAAATAAATTAAGAATAAACAGATACGATGCTAAGGTACGAGTGACCAATCAGGAATTAGATTATGTGCGAAATATCGAACTACAGCGCACTACAAAGAAGAAACGCATTTAAAAACGACATCGCACAGGGCAGGAGACGGCTGAAGATCGCGAAACTTAACAATCGGGGGAAGATGATGCTTGAAAGGGGAAAGAGGAGAACGCTTCAAAGGAGAGAGGCTATTATGACGCGGAAGGAGTTCGATGTAATGACGAGATATTACGAATCAGTAAGTTTTAATGAGTAGGCAAATCTCCAGTTAGACAACGTAGATCATTGCGTGTGTGAACGACAAGGATACTATTAGAGTAGACCAAATCCAACGAAAATGGAACTGAAATGTAAACAGAACCAGAAGGTCTACGAAAGGAAAGCAAGAAACCGGAGGACATTTTTTTATTCACCATTGTAGGAAGACCAAATCTTGCATTAAACGTGGTGCGGGTGAGCCTTCAGACAATCCAGTTGTGATTCTGTGGGTGTTGGATGTGTATTTCTCAATTGTGACTTTTATTTCTAGGCAGAAGCTATTAATGATACTAATCAAAATAGGAGTAACAATTTTATTAATTTTGAAAGTAAACGTTAATTTTGAACTTTCCCTACCTCGGCCACCGTGTGGTGCACTGCGCTGTGCAGCGAGGGGTCCTCCGCCAGCATCTCGTCGAGGAAGTGCAGCAGCACGCCACCGCCGCCGCCACCGACGCCCTCGTGGTTCGCGCCCGCGATCAAGGAGCGCGCCACCGTCCGCGCCGCCGCCTCCCGCGCCACGTTCGCGCTCAGCCACGCCGCCGCGAAGTACTCGACGAGCGTGTAGTGGACGAAGCGGGGCGCTGCGTCGTCGCCCACCCACATGAGGCCCGTCTTCAGCCGTTGGAGGACCTCCAGGTTGTCGGAGATGAAGTCTTCAAAGGGCTGCGGGTCCACATCCTTAAACCGCATGTCTGATACCTAATGCACAAAAGGCGCTGGTTAAAACTGTTTCAATTCTTTTTCTTCTATTGCTAGAAATTTTGATTGCCCCTAATATTCTTTTTGTTAAATTCTATACAGTATTGTTAGTAAGTAGAAAATTAATGTCTAAAATATGAGGGAAATTCACGTTTTTGGGTGACCTGGTATTTAAAAAAGATGTTTTCAATAATCTCGGTCCGCAACATGTTTTATACAAAATCTTGAAAAAGTAACTTCATAGAATAGTATTTTACTATATAAATGGTTAAAATAGACCATTTCATACAAGTTGGTTAATTGCTCACGACCGCGCAAGAGCGAGCATATAATTGCTAAAGAACGGGGAAGCATCTTTCAGCCATGGATAATATACAATATTTTATCTTATCTAATTACATTTGCAACATTTTTAGCTTATTCTCTTCTACAAGTAGGCGCAATGATGAATGGTAATTATGCTGATTTCGGCGGTACATTAAAGGCCTTGAATGGAATATGTTGTCGCTTCCTAGAAAATGGACTATATTCCTGAAAGTTCTAAAAGTGAAGATCTGGAAGATTTACTACCTAGTAAATCTAAAGATATATGTATATATCGTAACAAATACGAAATGTTCAAGTAGAAGAAAGAATGAGATATTAAGAAAGTATGCGAGGAAACAATATTAGCATATTTTGCAGCAACAGCATCAATATTTGGTGAGGCGAAAAATATGAATAAAATACCTATTTATTCATCCTATTCATTAATAAATAATTAAGTATTAGTGTGATTCTATGTACAGTAGTGCTCTAAAAACCGCTTCACCATTCTCACAGTTGTAATCTGCAATATAATCTATAAAGTACACCACTTGATTTGCAAAAATCGAACGAGTTACGAAGGTGATGGAATCAGAAACATATAATTCACAAGAATATGATTATTATTTTCTACAAATATTTGTTTGAAATTGTTTAGAGTAGATATAATTAGGAAACTACAGAATGCCTATTTTCTTTTAGGTGATGCAATTATGGTGTATATTCCTAAATTTTTCTTCAAAATATGTTGTTTAATGAATGTATAAAATAAATGTAAATGTTTATCGTGACTATTAATATCGACTTTATTACAGTACTCTAAAAAAGAGACATTTCACCGACTCCGGCCAAGAAAAAAGGCTACCAAGCCACTCGGATAAGACAAAATTAATTATTCTATTACTTTAAATCATAAAACACATTTATGAATGCGTGAGGTTAATTAAAGTATATAATAAGCATTTTAAATGTGAATGTGAACTAAGATTTTTTCTTTTCAACATTGCACCAATTCTTGAGCTTCTGAGGCATCATTTGCTAAATGCACCTGATTGCCAGCAAATGCTAACATGAACACACTCGTTTCCAGTATCGTGCATCTTGACTCGTTTTCCAATTTCTCAAATAGGCAATCCATAATGAGATTAAAAAGGAGAAAGGACAAGGGCGTAAGGATAATAAGTTCGTCATTGTCCATCGCCCCATCGCAATTACTTCTCTGCTGTGCGGAATATGTTGGGACTTTATGAACAGACCCATTCCGCGGTGAAGTCCAATCCACGCCAGAAAGAGTTTATCCCCGAACCTGGCTGTTTCGCTAATATTCACATTCTTCACGGCGGTTTCACTAATATTCAATTCTTCACGACAGTCTGTGACTTGAAAAAAGCAGACTATTGGGTCGGCGCTGTTCTAGATATATCCAAAGCATTTGACAGTGTTTCTCACGCGGCGCCCTTTTCCCCGAGAAGGCACAAAGCCACTAAATAAAATTTAAGAGTTTTTGCTTCTGATGATAATGCTCCGTCCACGACACAAAGCCCTCGCGCAAAGGCGGGTGGTCGCTCCCTCCCCCCGGAGACGGCCGCTCCCGCAGGGTGCGCCCGCCGC